AATCAATCAATTTATATTATACTAGCATGTACCCGCGACTTTGTTCGCGTCGAATTAATCATTTATAATGGTGATATGATAAAGCAAAGCAAGAATTCCCATTAACATACAAACTGGAGCAGAATCGTGGTTAATCAATTGCCCAACTTTTTGGAACACCCTGTATGATTTTTTAAAAAATATCAAAATATGCAAAAAACAAAATAAATTATACGTGTCCAAGCGTTTTCCCGAAAGACTAACCGTTTTTTAAATAACAAATATTGTAATATTTGAGGGGCGTTTTCACCCTCTTGGAATTTGAGATTCGAGAAACCCTTCCTTATCGAACCTCTACACTCCACAGTCAATCCGTTTGCCAAAATCAGCATTAAACGTCAAGCAGCTTAAGCAGAATCGTGATTACTCAATGGTCATATTTTATGAAACACCCTGCATAAATTTTTAAAAAATCTTAAAATATGTAAAACAACAAAATAAAATATACGTGTTTAAGAATTTTTCCGAAAAACTCACCGGATTTTAAATAAAAAATATTCTAATATTTGAGGGGTGGTTTCATCCCCTTAGAATTCGAGTTTCGAAAAATACCTTCTTATCGAACCTCTACGCCCTAAAGTCAATCTGTTTTCCAAAAATTAGCTTTTTACGTCAAGCGCTTTAAGCAGGATCGTGATTAATCAATGACCAGATTTTTCGAAACACTGTATACATTTTTAAAGTCTTAAAATATGTAAAAAACAAAATAAAATATACGTGTTCAAGCGTTTTTTCTGAAACTTGATCGTTTTTTAAATAAAAAATATGGTAATACTTGAGAGGTGGTTTCACCCTCTTGGAACTGGGATTTCGAAAAATCCCTTCTTATCGAACCACTACACCCCAGAATCAACCTGTATGCCAAAATTGAGCTTCTTACGTTGAGTGGTTTGAGCAGGATCGTGATTAATCAGTGAGTCACTTAAGAATTTTATATATTAGTATAGATTATTTGAGGGGCGTTTTCACCCTCTTGGAATTTGAGATTCAAGAAACCCCTCCTTATCGAACCTCTACACCACACTGTCAATCCGTTTGCCAAAAATCAGCTTTATTCAATGGCTTTACTCAATGGCCATATTTTATGAAACACCCTGTATAAATTTTTAAAAATCTTAAAATATGTAAAACAACAAAATAAAATATACGTTTTTAAGAGTTTTTTCGAAAAACTCACCAGTTTTTAAATAAAAAATATTCTAATATTTGAGGGTGGTTTCACCCCCTTAGAATTTGAGTTTCGAAAAATCCCTTCTTATCACACCTCTACACCCTAAAGTCAATCCGTTTTCCAAAAATTAGCTTTTTACGTCAAGCGCTTTAAGCAGGATCGTGATTAACCAATGACCAGATTTTTCGAAACACTGTATACATTTTTAAAAAGTCTTAAAATATGTAAAAAACAAAATAAAATATACGTGTTCAAGAGTTATTTCGGAAACTTGATCGTTTTTTAAATAAAAAATATGGTAATACTTGAGAGGTGGTTTCACACTCTTGGAACTGGGATTTCGAAAAATCCCTTCTTATCGAACCACTACACCCTAGAATCAACCTGTATGGCAAAATTGAGCTTCTTACGTTGAGTGGTTTGAGCAGGATCGTGATTAATCAGTGAGTCACTTAAGAATTTTATATATTAGTATAGATTATTTGAGGGCGTTTTCACCCTCTTGGAATTTGAGATTCAAGAAACCCCTCCTTATCGAACCTCTACACCACACAGTCAATCCGTTTGCCAAAAATCAGCTTTAAACGTCAAGCTTTACTCAATGGCTTTACTCAATGGCCATATTTTATGAAACACCCTGTATAAATTTTTAAAAAATTTTAAAATATGTAAAACAACAAAATAAAATATACGTGTTTAAGAGTTTTTCCGAAAAACTCACCGGTTTTTAAATAAATAATATTCTAATATTTAAGGGGTTGTTTCACCCCCTTAGAATTCGAGTTTCGAAAAATCCCTTCTTATCGAACCTCTACACCCTAAAGTCAATCCGTTTTCCAAAAATCAGCTTTTTATGTCAAGCGCTTTAAGCAGAATCGTGATTACTCAATGGTCATATTTTATGAAACACCCTGTATAAATTTATAAAAAATCTTAAAATATGTAAAAAAAGAAAATAAAATACACGTGTTTAAGCGTTTTTCGGAAACTTAACCGTTTTTAAATAAAAATATTGTAATATTCCACCCCCCTTTTTACCCCCTTAGGGGATGAATTTAAAAAAATCCTTTCTTATCTTACGTAAACATCATAAAAGGAACCCCTGTGCAAAATTTCAGCTTTCTAGGGTCAAGGGTTTGGTCTGGGCGTTGATGAGTCAGTATCAGTCAGGACAGTCAGATTTATATATATATAGATAAATTAAGTAAAGTAGGGATTTCAGTTAACGTCTCTTTTTTGCCGCCAGGGCTAATCTGGACGGGGCCCACTTGGTTTACGCGGAATCCGAACCGCGGTCCTCGGCAATATCATGGTCAATGGCCAACCGACTTGGCAAGTGTCTAAATCGACTCTTACTCACGATATATCCGATCTCATCCGGCCTCGAACCGGCGTGAATGAGCAGTGTGTGTCAATAGATTTTACACTTTTGCCTTTTGGACAACGGCACGATACAGAGTTTTGAACCGGTCACCCGTCCATCCACTAGTATCGCCTTACGTCGCTTAACTTCGGTGTTCTAATGGGAACCGGTGTTTCGACGCAGCTGGGCCGTTGCCCCATTATTTAAATACTTGTCTAAAAAAATAGGATATTCGGTATATAGGTCCGGCAATAGTGCGTCGGGCATCTCTAGCACCTAGAAAAAAAAATTTGGGATTTTTATTTAAGAGCAAACCTAAAGCACAGCCTAAAGTATATATTAGCATGTATTTCAGGAAAATATTTTAACTTCTGTATGGTGGCTCAAAAAAGTATTAGTGGATCGGGATGATTTTATTAAAATGGAACACTCTGTATATTGTTGCATTTTTGGCTTCCTTTCAGATCAATATGCATAATTCTACGATATGAGTAAATATATTTAGATAGTTTCAGAGATATTAATAAATAAATAAAACATATACAGGGTGGTCCGAACTATATCCCGGAAACTTCGGCAGCATATTCTGCAGACCAAAAGTAAGTAAGAAAGTTCGTATAAATGTATGTCCGAAAATGCTTAGTTTCAGAGATACAGGGTGTAGAAATTTCATTTTTATTTCTATTTTTTCTAAATAATGTCTGAAATAACGTCAATATCTGGATGAAAATTGGTGTCTGGGAGTTTTTTGACATGAAAAATTTGATTTTGATGTCAGTATGACTCCTACTAGTAGAGGGCGCAACCTACGTGTGTTTTAACTGTTTTGAAGCGTAATAACTTTTTGTCTGTACCTGTATAAAACTACCAAGTGAAAAAATATACATCTCTGTGATTTTTTACGTAAAAAACATTTCTTTTTAAAAATCTCTACGAGCAACCGTTCTTAAGATATTTAGAATGGAAATAGTAAATACATAAATAATACATAAATAATACAGAAATAATAAATTTGAGAAATTTTTATTTTTTTAAATTAATCATAAATTTTTCTGCAAAAAATGATGATAAAACAGTTTCTGTTGAACATTTCAAATTTATGATTTGAGTCTAATAAATAATTAGTCAACATGTTTAATTTATGTCAATGATGACAGGTATTGAAAATTTCTTTTCCAGATATATCGAAAACCATTACTTGTAGCGGTTTTTACCAAGAGACCTTTTTCACGTAAAAAACTTCGTAAATGTATATTTTTTTACTCAGTAGTTTTATACAGGTACAGACCAAAAGTGATTACTCTTCAAACCAGTTAAAAATATGTAGGTGGCGCCCTCTTCTAACAGGAGTCATATTGACATCAAAATCAAATTTCTCATGTCAAAAAACTCCCAGACACCAATTTTCATCCAAATATTGACGTTACTTCAGAAATTATTTGGAAATAATCGAAATAAAAATAAAACTTCTACACCCTGTATCTCCGAAACTAAGCATTTAGGACATACATTTATATGAACTTTTTTTACTTATTTTTATCTGCAGAATATGTTGCATTGAATAAGTTTCAAGAATACAGTTCGGACCACCCTGTATATTTTACAAACTTCATTAAGAAAAATATTAAAAATACAAGTACCGTCCTGAAGTCAAAACTGTATTAGGTATTTCTTTTAGATGGTATATACTTTCTTTGCTATAAATAAATATCGTAATCTTAAATCATACAAGATGTTCAAAATTCTACGCCGAACTTTCTAAAATATAAATTTCGTTTTTTTAATGGAACACCCTGTATATTATTTTTTATTAGATGGAGAATTAAAAAATAATTTTTTTTTTATATTTAGAGAATTTCAAAATTTTTAACGGTTCCGTAGATATTGGCGGTTTTATATTTCATATAGCATTTTCCACACTAAATTTTTATCAAAACCACCCAATAATTTTTTTCTCGTATTTTGCCGTTGGGAAAAAATAATATACAGTGTTTTCCATTTAAAAAAAATGAAGAAAAATTATTTTATATTTTAGAAAGTTTGGGATAGATATTTTCAAAATCGAAATTTGAGTTATAAGATAACAAAAGTCGATAATATATTCGATCAATCTAAATTAACCTATTCGATATTATACAGATTTTGGTCTATTCTGTATTAACTATTACGTGACCAAATGCGGCAGAATAAAATTAAATTGCATTTTTTTAAATAATTATTAATGCCGATAAATTTCGAACATTACTTATTACTGAATTTCGAACTAATTCATGATTACTTTATGACGCAATACAGATTTTTCCTAACATTTTCAGAGATTAAAAATATATAGCAATTTAAATGGCAGACTCAATACTTCCATACGTACAAAATTATCAAAATTTAAGTTTTACAACAATTAAAGACTCTATTATCAAAATTTAAGGGTATTTATAGTTGGGATAACATTTTTCTTTCTCATTTCCGAGTTTGGTATCGGTATACTGAAGTATTACCGGTTAATGAAATGAATGTACGTTGTGTTTTCGTTTTGGCTTTAAGCGTTGCATTTTCTAATGCTGGAATCATCAATGAACGTAAGTGATATTTTTTTCTAATTTCAAAATTTTTCAAATAATAGTGCATATAATAGTTTAACAAAAAAAATATTTTATTATATATTTTCTATGCTAGGGGGATGTCCCTTGAAATCATTTAACTGATAACTATTGTGGCTAAGTATAATACCATACAATATCCCAATGCTACTACTATCTATAGTATATACCAGGTGCATCGCGTCGTTGGAAATATAAAAAATCGCATGCAAATTTTGAACTGTCTAGATATTGACTCCCCTGTTAATTTACAGCGAAGTTGTAAAGGTCTGGGTATGCTAAATACACATCCAAATTTGAACAAGCCGATTTTAAGTAATTTAAAGGTCCGTATTCACTTGCAACAAAACACTCCGAACCAACCGAACGCGCAGCGCACTCCAAACAATCTGCTACAAAACATTTTCCGGGCGCGCTCTGAACGACCTGCAACAAAACATTTTGCGCGGAGCGTTCCGCCTGTTTGCGGTGTTCGCTGCGTTCCCACCAGTAATCAGTGTGTTTGTCGACATGGATGCATCTGATATTACCATAGCCACTGTTTTTTTTTATTATAGAGGCATTAGCGCACCTTTGCTTGTTTCTATGGATTTCGTCCCTTTCGCTTTCTCTCTTCTAAAACTCGATAGAAGACTTTCCATTTTTTCACGTCCGTTGCGGTGCACCCTATATTATTAGCAATTGCTATCCAATCATCATGTTTCTTTACTTTGTTTTAATATGTCCCATTTGTCAGATCCCATAAAATAGGCTGCCCTTCAAACTCATCAATTAACTGTAAACACTTTTCTCTGTCCCACTCCATAGCTAGGCACAGTTTAAAAACATCACAAACACAACTAACGTTCAAAACTGCCATATCCACTGAACACCGACCAACGAATAAATTCTTTTGAGCAAATCCCGTTTACCGACAAGCTTCGGAAAATGTTTGGCGCGTTCGGTTCAGTTCGGCGCAACGTACTGAGTATACAAACTTGTTACAGCGCGCGCGGCGCGTTTGGTTCGTTCGGAGTGTTTTGTCGCAAGTGAATCCACACACCCACCTTAAGAAAAACTGCATCTATTTTTAAATTAAAACTTAACAAGTAACAACGCAGAACCAGGCAAATGACAACGTGTCTTAAGTTGTCATCCTATAATACTTGTCATCCTATAACTTAAGTTTTTGCCCCATTCGAACCAGTTTTAAATTAAAAAAATACAATTCGAGGACACTAGGCGTACGTACTATAACATAGTAGTGTTAACAGCACAACAAATTACATTTGACAATGACAAAAACATAGGTTCACAACTTAAGGCATGTTGACATTTGCCTGGTTTTGGGGTTTGCTAGTATTTGCTAGGGAAGCTAATATTTTGATAGTTCAAAATTTGCATGGGATTTCCTATATTTTCAACGATGATGCACCACACGGTATAGCTGTTAGCATATATGATATATGCCAACTACTGTTATCATGAGATATGTTTTAATAAATACATAGTGTAGAATTTTGTCGCTTCAGAAATCTTTTTAGAATTTGGTTACATTAGTATATATAGAAATAGAAATATGGTACTACTACAATTAAATTATACGTACAAACTCTGGATATTTAACAGAAAGTTATTTTTTGTAAAATACTATAGGGTAAGTATCTAAAATTACTTCGCCGAGCGCATTAGTAGAATTTTACTAGTATACAAATTTGCCTAACCAACGATTTGTTTAGGAGTTAAAAGCTACTGGCAGGCTGGCTTCCAATTTACAATCTATGTAAACAAGCAAAGTTTAAAATGTTTATTTTACTCTTACAGATTACTCAGGAGGATATGGACAGGAACATGGAGGGGGCTCAATTATCGATAAAGCAATTGGTGCATGGAACTCCGGTATTTCTTCAATATTAAGTCCCGAAAATTCCGCAGGCCATTCATTCGAAGCACAGCCGGTAGCTCACTACGACTCAGATGACTCATGTGACACGGATATTTCTTCACCTGTCGTTGAATCTGCAGCACTTGCAAATTCCGGGTCTATTGAAGTCGCAGATGATTCGGCTAATAAAGAAGTATCACCAGTTGAAACGCAACCAATAGTTAATTACGAATCAGGATCATACGACAAAGAAATTTCACCAGCAGTAGATGCTGGTCCTGCTGTATATAATTCTATTGATGTAACAGATAACTCTAATAACATTGTAATATCACCCTCTAGTTATGAGTCAGTAGAGCAAGTCGAGTTTCCACAACCCCATTACACTTCGGTGGGATCAGTAGCAGAATCAAATTACGAATCATCAAATTACTACCAATCAATACAGCAAGACACAAAAGAGTCGTATTCATCATACTCAGCCGTACCAGTAGTACAAGAATCTAGTTACGCACCAATTGCAGTAGAGCAACCTGCTTCAGTTGAAGTGGCAACAGTAGCACAAACGATATATAATTATGTGCCAACCGAATCAGTACAAATATATCACCCTGAGTTTAGTCCAGTAGCACCAGCAGTAGAAGCAGTAACTAGTTATGAATCAGTAGAGTCAGTACCGGTATATCAACAGGATTCAGTTGCAATTCAACCCGATACGAGTTACGATAATTCAGTACCAATTATAATTCCAATAACACAAAACATTTCAGTAAACCCAGTAACATATATTACACAAGAAAAAGAAGCAGAAGCTTCACCAGAAGTTGTATATGTGACAGAACCTGTATATATAACAGAACCTGTATATGTGACAGAACCTGTATATGTGACAGAAACTGTATATGTGACCGAGCCTGTATACGTGCCAGAGCCTGTATATGTGACAGAAACTGTATATGTAACTGAACCTGTATATATAACAGAACCTGTATATGTGACAGAACCTGTATATGTGACAGAAACTGTACATGTGACTGAGCCTGTATACGTGCCAGAGCCTGTATATGTGACAGAAACTGTATATGTAACTGAACCTGTATATGTGACAGTACCTGTGTACGTAACAGAAGCTGAATGTGAACCAGAGATACCTGTTGTAGCTACAACACAGTCAGTTGTTGTAGTAGAGCCTGTTGAGACGATAACTGAAGCTCCCTGTGATACTGAGCCGGTATATGTGACAGAACCTGTATATGTAACAGAAGCTGCTCTACCTGCAACTGAGCAGGTTTCCATACTGCCTGTTGAGTCGGTAACTGAATGTGAACCAGAGATACCTGTTGTAGCTACAACACAGTCAGTTGTTGTACAGCCTGTTGAGCCTGTAACTGAAACTCCCTGTGATACAGAAGCGTAGGCTGTCCCTATCGAGCCATGTGACTCCGATTGCTAAAATTATTTGAATTATCTTGTCATATATAAATTATTGTTTAATATGTAATATAAAATTTTAAATATATATTATATATTGAAGTAAAACTGCGTTATAAAATTGATAGTAATAATTTGGATCTATCATAAGTAGTATATAATTAAATTTAACACATTATACTTTATTTTATATATTTACTCTATAATATAATTGCAATTAAGCAAAAGTTATAAATATTTATATAGCATAACTTTAAAAAGGATAGGTACATCAGTTATTTAGTCTTATATTTATATGATTTAATATTATTAATAGTTACTATATGTAAAATACGACTATAAATTAATGAAACTAACAAGAGTTATGTTTAGTTTACTACATTACTTGACAAAAAATTATAATGAGCGAATATATATGATTTTTAAATAAAAATTATTTTGGAGTTTTCAATGATTACCATATTATAGTGTACCAAAGAGTTTTACAAAAAACTTTAATTTATTGACAATAATTTTCAAGACTAAGGTCTGATCCTCAGGAAAAAAATGTGTTTAAATCAATTTAAAATGCATGGATTTTGTAGTACAAGTAGTAGTCTCCATTGAAATGGTAGTTCTTTGGTATGTATCTTAGTAATTTTTCTTACGAAATACCCGGTATTTTATTTCATTTTTCGATCTTTGGACATAAACTAAGGCATCTATTATAAGGGTTAAATATATTCACAAACTTTGGTTTTTGAGATATTTAAATATGCATTCTACAGGGTGAGTTTCCTACGATGTTCTCTATGGGTATCTCGAAAACTACTGGAGATAGAGAGTCGGTTAAATGGGGAAAGAATTGCAGAATTGCAATTCATATTGAAAGAAATTTTAAAAATTATTTATATCATAATTATACAAACACAGGGATAGGAAGAGGTGGACTAATTGCATGGGGCTCCTCGATCACCTGACCTATCAATTTTAGAATTTTTTATGCGGTATAGTTAACAATAAGGGTTTACAAAAGAACTTATGAATTAAAAGAGGCACTCGAAGTAGCGGTACGAGAAAAGTTTAATTAAGTCGACCGATCCTTCTGTGAGAATAAGTAGTAATTCAGTTTTAAAAAGATGCAACTCAAAACAATGGCGGATTTTTTGAACATTTTCTAAAATAATTTAAAATGTATGTAGTGATATTATTTTTTTAAGTTTTAGTTTGTGTAATGTAAATTATAAAAAACCGTTTAGTAATATATTCTGACTTTTTATAAGTTATAAATCATAACAGAATAAGAATACCATGCAATCTAAGTGAAATTAGTCAAGAAAGATAAGAATTGGCTATATCTAAATTTAACTTTTCTAACATGTCTTGAAAACCGTTCTCTAAAAAACTTAACATTCACCGGTCAACGTATCCTCGAAAATGTATGGCCAAAAAGGTTGAACCAATAATTCTACACGCTTTTCTTCATTTGATAAATCCATATTTACAATTTTTGTTTATTTTAATACACAAAGATTGGATGTGACAGCTTCACATTTATGAAAGCAAAGACGATTAAACTTGTTTCCATAGCTAACTAAGTGAAATTATTTAAAAATGATAAGGATTGGCTATAACTCAGTAATTTTTCGAAGAAAACATATTACAGCTTATATCGCTAAAAAGTTTAAAAAATGGCGCTTTTTATGAAGTCATGGCCAACTATGGTTTCCATTTAAAAAAAAAACATATGTTTGTGTCACATATCAAAAATGACAAGCTTTAGAAAAAAACGGAGAACACGGTCTCATTAAGGATGTGATTATCTACAACTTTTATCTGAAAACTTTTTGTCTAAAATAGCTTATAATGAAATTAAGGTAAGTAGCCAATTAGTGACCGATCGCCAATTGTTGACCGATTTTGTCTATATACTTCTTAAATAAGAATTTTAAAACATTTATAAACAATTCAACGCCTCCATTTCATTTAGACATATTTAAGGTTAATGTTTTTCACATAATTTTGATATTTACTTTTTTAAATCAGCCGCCAATTTATTTAAAGCGTAGGGGCGCGGGAGATCAGCCCGTTTAGTCGTTATTAGGTGTCGAAGGTGTTAACAGCGTGCTTTGTTTGTTCGAGGCGAATACAATTAAGGTAAGCATATTACTTCAATATTTGAGTTTCTAGACATTAATAAAGGTATATTTTTGACAATTGCATACTTTAAATTAAATATTTTATAACATTTATGTAAAATAATTATCGGTCAATATTTGGGTGCGTTTAACCACAGAAAATCTAATTATTGACCGACCGGTCAATAATTGGTTTATTGCATTACTAATTATAATTCCTTTTATTTTATCTATTTTAATACTGAGACATTTTTTTTATTGAAAAATAAACTAATAATACACTAAACTACACGTAGGCCAAATAATGACCATGATAATATTTTGACCATAATTAGTATTTTTAAAACAAATATGCGGTCACTATTAGGATTAAGCATCGGTCATTATTTAGCTTTCCTTTGGTCAGTAATTGGATCTAAAGGATTTTACCTATTGACCGGTCGGTCAATAATTGATTCACAGACACAACTGCATGGAGATTGCTATTTTCAGTATTTTAATAGCAAATTATTTACCTCAAAACCATGAAACTAATAAAACGATTCATTACATTTTATTTTGACCAAATGATTTTCAGCGTAATATGTTAAAGTATAGTATTATTTTTAATATTAATAGTGTGGTCACAAATAGGGCACTATATAGGTCATTATTTAGTTTTGCGGTAAAACAGAATTTTTGTTCACTCTTAACTAAGTGTCTGGATTAAATAGCCTTGTTAGTTACTTGTTAATTGGACGTTAAACACGTATTTTTAATTTTATATAAAATATACGCCATTTTACTAGCAATTTAGCATTTGTAATTCCTTTAAGGAAAAAATGCGGTACTAAGTATTAAGTACTTTACATTTTTTCAGAATGCCCCCACAAAATAAAAAACGGAAATTATACACCAGGCAGATGCTTGATAACGCTCTACTTGCCGTGGGAAACGGCATGTCCTATGGAAATGCCAGTAAAGCTTTCAATATACCAAAAACCACACTGATATATAAAAATTCTGGCAAAATTCCCATGACAGGCAAACCAGGGCCACCCACATTACTGTCAAGTGATGAAGAAGATATGCTTGTAAAATGGTTAATCTTCGTCAGTAATAGAGGCTTTCCTGCTACCCGGAATCAATTGGCAGATAGCATAGAATTACTTTTTAAATATATGAAGAAAGAAAATCCGTTTCCAAGCGGTCGTCCAACAATAAAATGGCATCAGCTTTTTGAGAAGAGACATCCCGAAATAGCAGTTAGAGTAGCCCAAAATTTATCCAAGCCTAGATCGACACTAAATGAAAACAGTTTAAGGAATTGGCATGCCGAAGTATATACATATTTAAAAAATAATAATTTGGAGAATGTGTTAGAGGACCCAAAACGGGTGTACAACTGTGACGAGTCCGCTTTTTTTTTGAGCCCGAAGGGAAATCGTGTGCTGGCTAGAAAGGGGGAAAAAGCAGTTTATTCTTTTTCTAGTAATGATGACAAGGAATGTTTGACAACGCTCATTATGTGCAATGCCGCTGGAGATTTGCCACCACCGATGGTGGTTTTTCCATACAAACGTATACCACCAAAAATAAGTAATCAAGCACCTAAACATTGGGGTCTTGGTCGTAGTGACAATGGTTGGATGACAGGTGAAACCTTTTTTGAATACATTGCCAATGTATTCTACAAATGGCTGACGGAAAATAATATTTCGTTTCCCGTGCTTTTATTTGTTGATGGACACTCTTCTCATCTTACTCTAACTCTTAGTAAATTCTGTTCTGAAAAGAAAATTATTTTGGTCGCTCTGTATCCTAATGCGACTCATATAATTCAGCCACTAGATGTTGCATTTTTCAGGCCATTAAAAATGTCTTGGAAAACGGTCGTACACACATGGCGTTTAGAGAACAATGGAGCTAAAATATCCAGAGAAGATTTTGCGCCGCTGCTTCAAAAATCGATAGACGAAATGGAAAATAAAACAAAAATAATTTCAAATGGATTTAGAGCTACAGGATTATTTCCTTTTGAAGTGGATAATATAAATTTTTCCAAATATTTCAAAAATGACATAGAAATTTCTGAAGCTTGCCAAAGTACTATTAAAAAACAATATAACAATTGCTACACTATAAATACTGTTTTAAAAAGGATGGAAATGGATCTTCCCGATAAAATTGAAATATTTAAAAATACTGGAGCCGTTTGGAAGGGTGATACCAGAGACACGGGATTATATGAATACTGGAAGTTTTTAAAGGCAGAGAAAAATAAATATAATGAACATGACGAAAGTCAGCAAAATGAGGAAATCGATATGGAAATAAACCAAGACATTTTACCAATTGCAAATTCTTCACCATCAAAGAGCATAGATAATATTATTACAGAAGTGCTGGAAGAGAATGCAGATATGTCTAATATTGATAGAATTATTTTAGACGGAGACAGTTTGGTTATCCCATTTGATATAAATCAAGAATATGAAATTTTAGATACTGATTCAATAAAAGAACCCAATCGTGTTGCTGTTCCACCAAAAGAAGAAAACAGTATTGTTATAGAAATTCTAGAACCAAATAATTCTAATACTAATATATTACAATTAGAGTCAACACCATCCCCAAATGTCCAAAAACAAAACAACGTATCTGCATTAAGTTCAATAGAAAATACCACAATTGGAGAGCAACCTAATAAAATTTCTACGACAACTCCCGACTCTATTCCCACTCCCTTTAAAAGGGCACTTTTTTGGCCTGATTCAAAAGAAAATATAGAAACGAAAAAAAGAAAAAAAGAAAAAGTACCAGCAGTCGCATCATCGGAAGAATGGCAACAATATCATAAAAGAAAAGAAGAGATTAGGAGTAAACAAGTAGAAGAAAAAAATATTCGAAAACAGGTACGTTTAAATAAAAAAGAAAGTAAATTGAATAAGAACGCAGTACCTGAGATAAACCAAACTGAAACACCCTTATCCAATAATTTGAGAAAAAAAATTAATAAAAAAAAATTTGTCGGCAATTTCTGTATTGTCAGGTATGAACAAAAATATTTTCCTGGCAAGATTTTAGATACTAGAAATCAAAATTCTGAAATTGAATATAAAGTGACAGCAATGACACCAAGTGGGTTAAACTGGAAATGGCCATATCCCGAAGATATATTATGGTATAAAGAAGCAGACACTATAACGAATATAACAGAACCAAAAATGATAAACAAGAGAGGTATTTATAGTGTCAAGGATATAGACAGTTTAGTATAATTATTAATTCAAATTTGTTAGACTTTGTTGAGAAACATGTAGTAACAATTTTTGATAAAGTATTTTTTGAAATAATACATTTTGTTCATACGAATAAAGACAAAATTTAACATTTCTTTTACGAAAGGTACTTAACTTGTTGCTAATTTTATAAATGTGCCATACAGATTTAAACAAATGGTTTATCATTAATAAGTGTTGTATTAATTAGTTGTTATATGTATTAATGAATTATTATCGATTAATGTTAATATTTATTATAAATTACCAACGAACTAAGTAGTTTCCTTACTACTTAGTTCCTAGGTATAAATAGTTAATGTGCAATTTATAATATATACTTACATTTAGTAAGTTAAACCAAAGAATTTATGGACGTACCTGCATAATTACATAATAAAATTACCTTAAAAAATAAGTTTATGTGATTTTTCGTATTTGTTTAGAAAAAAGTACTGAACAAAAGTAGGTACTTAGGTATAAATATATTTTTCTAAGTTAGTGGTATGATATGTTTGTGATTATTAATTAATTTATGTAGGTATTTAAAAAATAAAGTTTTAATTAAAATTTTGTTGTTTTATATCCAAAAGTATAGCAATAAGTAAGTATAATTCACATAATCAATTTAATGTGGCCGGTCAATAATTGGATATGCGTATGGTCACTAATTAGATATCTTCAACTTTACACTGGTCAATAATTGGTTAAACCTGCTTTTTTCGAATATCCGTTAATATTTAAGTTATAATACAAAATTATAACAAAATTGCATGATTTTATGAAAGACAATACTTCAAAGTACCCTAAAGAAATATATGTTGAATTTTAGTCAGTTCCAGAAAAAAACAGTACTGAAATAAAGTTGGAGTATCTGCTTAAGCGGTCATTAATTGGCTAGTTTACCTTAGAGACAATTTTTAAAATAGCCGAAATTTGTTTTTTTCGAAATATCTAGTAAGCCATGAACTTTTTCAAAAATCTGAAAGGCGAATATTTATGACCCATAAAACTGCAATTTTTTCCCCATTTAACCGACTGTCTATCTCCAGTAGTTTCCGAGATACCCATAGAGATCATCGTAGGAAACTCACCCTGTATAATAAAAAGATTGTTAACACCCAGTACAATACTTTTTATCAATCCTTGTGTTGACTTTTAAGCCAGAGACACAAACTTTACTGAAAAATTTTATTGCTTCCTTTAATGTATGCAGGGGTATCAAACAATGCTGATCTATTTTAAATATTTATTTTATATAAAAATTTCGTTATTTCAAATAAAACATTATTAGGCGAGGGCCGGGCAGTTAGGTGAAATAATGGCCTTTAGGAGAAGTTTTTGTAATCAATAACTAATTTTTTCACAGATGATAGCACCCGTCAATAGTACTCTGTAAAAAAAAGTTACACCTTCTAGGAAGCTTGCTTTTTCCGCCCTGTTGAATTAAAGATGGCAGACACAATATTTTTTAAATACTGTAACTTTCTTATTTTTTAACCGATTTACCTCAAACAAACTTCATATTAAGGAGGAAGAGAAGCCATTTTTATAACAAAGTTTGTCAAAAAGTCGTATACAGGGCGAGAAAAAAATATAAACCGATTTTTTAATTTTCGGGAATTTTTTAAAATACATGATAATTCAAAAAAAGATAAAAATGCTATTAATATTCATATTTTAACGCAGTTTACACGTTTCAGGTGAAAAAAAGTATAAAAAATTGAAAAATCAATAATCTATTTTTTTCAAAGGGGTATGCTGAGGAAATTGACAATTGAAAACTTTTATTCGAAATATCTCAAAATCTATTCGTTTTAGATGGGTTCATTCACAGTTTAAATGGGGCAATTGTAGGGCTCCACAAGCTCTATCCACACAGGAGTCAACCATCATTTTACAATTTATCATTTTCGAGATTTTTAGGATTTTTAGATTTTGCAAATTTTTAATTTTGGATCGATTTCTACAACACTCTGTACAATATTAAGAAGTAAAAAATTCTCGTTAATGAGCACCACCAATCTCTATCCAACAATGTATAACTAATTACAGAAAAATGAAGGATATGGGAGATATTTTAAAAAAAGGACAAAAAAGGAAAATTTCCAAAAATATTTGAGGCCAAAATTGAACTTTGAGAACACAAGGTTTGGGATCTAATTTTGATTTGGCAAATCTTCCTCCCACAGAAGACTCCAGTAATCAACACGTTTTTAGAGTATATTTATTTACAGGTACAAAGCTGGAGAGGAAACGAGTTAGATCCACTTGAGTGGTGGTGGTTTGCCAGTGGCAATGAGCTTTTTCCTGTGACTTACACCAAACACCTCCAGGGCCCGAACACCTAATGGCAACTTTTTTTGCAAATGCAAAGATCTTTGCACAGAAAAATGTGTGTGTGCTTCTTATAATCGAAAATGCAGCATTGTGTGTAAAAAATGCAATCAAGCCTGTCTAGATGCACCCAGAGTCGATTATGAAGAAGTGCAAATAGATGATGGTGACGTGTAAATACAAATATGAAAAAGTTATTGTTATATATTTGTAGTTAAGCTATTAAAAGTTGAATATATACGTTTCTGTTGGAATAAAAAGAATTTCAGTGTTTATTATTATCTATCATTAAGAATAACAATTTTTTCTTTTTTTAATTTATTTTTAATGTTTTTTTTTAATTTATTTTTACTGTTTTTTTTTTAATTCATATATGTTTAACCTAAAGCCAAAGGCAACTGTTTTGATTTTACGTCAATCGAGCAAAAAATAAAGTATCTTTACATCCTGCATCAGTTTTATTTTTGTTTGTATCCTTAAGGATACACTATACACTATATCTCCCGCACTACTCAATATATCATAAAGTCAAGGACTGTTTCAAAATCAGAACAAAAGAGCGCATATTCTTTAACCTTCTTTGCTACGGAGTACGGTTCAAAAAAAATTGAAGAAAAGCAAGTCGATTTCTTTTATTATTTTTCCTGTTTTTATTTTTGACAGAAAAACAACCTGTCAAAATAGTTTTATATGTTTATTTCAGTTTTCTTTAGTCAAAAGTAAAGGAATGATTTTTACTTAACGAAAATCGGCTAATAAATAAGAAAGTTACGATTTTTTTAAAGTATAGAATCAGACGCCATCTGTAATTCAACATGGCGGAGGAACCTAGCGCTCTAGGAGGTGGAACTTTTTTTACAGAGTACTGTTAATGAGTACTATCATCTGCGAAAAAATCAGCTTGATTGCAAAAACTTCCCCTATTTTTGCTAACTGCTCTGGCGTACTATATGTATTTTTTAAAATAAGTCAAAGCAGATTTAAATGCCCTTTCATACATATCAAAGTTTCCAATACTTATTTATCTCAGATTTTGAAGAAAGAACAATTTTTCAATAAAATTGCAACTAAGAGGACTATATTAGGGTATTTGACAATTTAATTTTTTAAATGTGGCTCATCAAAAGTTTCAAGTATAAGATTAATTGTTTTAGATTTCAATTTCCTTATGCAACTAAAACAACTTCGGCAAGTGATTTAAAGCGACAGAGACAAATACTAGGATTTATGTTCAAACTAAAATTCGCCACCAAGGCAGCTTCTGAAAGACATATTATAAAATCATTAATGCAGTGAGTTGGGAAAACTTTATATCCTTGCTTCAAGTAAGTTTATATCGTCAGAGAAAACAAATTCTATTTCCATTGTCAGTAAACAACACGGTTTTTCTGATGAAATTTACGATGAATGAATAATTCAAAATATTTAATAACTTATAAAAGTTACTTTTCAATGTCCTTATTTATTTATAACTTATAAGATTATACCTTAGTAATAGTATATTTCATATATCATGTAATTTGAACCTAGGTAATTTCATTAGATTGTTACATTACTAGCGATTTTTTGAACACTATCTTGAAGTGTGTTATAGCTGTAATTTTTAATCTCCTTCATTAGTTGATAAAATAATAGGTAAAAATTTACGATTTCTGGGAATTTGACTTTTCAAGTGGATAAAGGCAGGTCAATTTATGTTTCAGCATATAGTTAACCCGTGGTTTGAAACACATTTTTAAAAATGTCAGTTATAAGCTTGTGTATAGAATAGAATTTAAGCTAAACAAAAATAAAATTCTGCGTGTAAAAACTACATCAACTTTAATTTGATGTGTTTTGATTTAGCACAACCGCAGCTTTTTGAAAAACAGAATATTCACAACTGCTATTTTACCATTGGCAATGGCTTTTGTTCTATATCTGTACTGAATTTAAAATTTCCTGAATTTATTTCGCAGCCCAGTCAGTTTATAGTATTTTCATAGTTTTTTAGTGTTTGAAAGCTATCCAATTAAGATGGGTGGGTATTTATTTGGCAAAACATATTTCAGGCGCCTTCTTTATTTTTAAATAAAAAACTCTTAATAAATTATTAATCTTATTTCTAAACTTATTTCACCTCAACTTTCTTTTGCACTTCACAAAAAAAAGTAAAAAAGAAATTGATAGTGATTAAGAAGCAGAGGGAGTTGAGGTAAAAAAAGCGTATTTTGCACTACTCTCGCATTAGAAAATATTGATTGACTTCCGATCATAATCTTTGTTGCAAAAAAAAGTTCGAATGTTTAATTAATACTGAATAAATTAATTTTAATTAATTCATGTTAAACAGTTAAATTATTTGCACTTATTACGGGGAGACCCTGTATAAACATTATATTAATTAAAGTTATACCCTTGATTATGTATAAATAGATGTACAATGAGGGCTTAGTACAAGCCCGTCTTCTAGGTGGCGCCTTGCCCGTTCTGAATTTTTGTATTCCCCTACGATTTTCTTTGAGGGGAATCCGTTAAACCCGCCCATCGTTCAAAAATGGAAGGGCGCGAGGTCACATCTATTGGGCCACTTATTAGCACGTTTCACGCATGTTTACGAAAATAGCTTTCCTTGTTTGTTTCAACTGTGACAAGAAAAAAGGAAAAAAAGTCATATTCGTTTCTAAATTCGGCAGTTTTGTTTATCTTTCTCGACTTCTGATTTCGTTTCGTTTAGGTTATGTCTTAAAAAATAATTATTTATAAGCTGTTGAGTTGAAATATACCTTAATGCATATCTAAATAATTAAAAAAATCAATTTTTTCGTCCCCCACGAAGAAACGAAACAGTATTTTTGAATATTTGGATTACAAACTATTATTTTATGAGTTTTATGTGTTGTGTTTACGTGATGTGTAATGTGTATTTTGTACCTGCTGGATAATATTTTGAAATATATTTAATTAAACAAAAAGCATCTGTATTACAGGTGAGTAAATACTGTTCATATTTATTTCTAAATTCATATAAATTTGTTTTAAATCACTCTTGGTTTTTAGAGTTTTTATCTTAGAGTTTTACCTCATAGAGAGTCTGAGATAAGTTTAATAATAAACATTAAATTTGATAGATTGATAGATAGATTAAACGATAATGGCCAGTTGACTTAAAAATTTAAAAAATACTGATTTTATGCTATAAATTATGTTTCATTTCTTACTTTGCTTTTTTGGAACTGTCAGATATATTGTGTATTTTATAATTTTTCTTAATTAATAACGTAAAATATTGTTTATCTACACTCAACCCTGTGTTTAGATAAAGCTTCATATCAGATTTCCTATTTTATATTTTCACTCAAATCATATTTTTGTAAAATAGGTATGCTTGCATGCAAAAGTAGCGTAAATTTGACAGGGAGGTATTTTTATAGATATACAGGATGATTCGTAGATTTAAATACATATTTACTTTAGAGTTGTATAGTTTGTCAAAAGAAAAGCTATATTTTTTATTTTTTCTTGGTGAATTTGTCAAAAAATTGTCATTCCAGAAAATACTATAATGTCGTAATCGTATAGAGTTCATTTTGACCATTTTTGGATTAAATTTTTTTGTTTATATAATAAAATATATATTTAAAGCCCTTTCTAAGTTAAAAATAAGTAATATGGAAGTTTTTTACTGGAACTAATTTAAGGTAATGTTCTCTTCATATAATTATATAAAAATATGCTAAATTCCTAAATTATTTATATGATTAAATTTTCTTTATATTATTTTTTTTGTATTATATACAGGATGAGTCAAAACTATATATTATATTTTTCTTTGCTATTTCAAATGGAACACTGTATTTTATATCATAAATCAACAAATCTTTTATCCAACTTTTGTTTTGTTAAGATCTATATCCCAGATTAATAGTTATTGGATTGTTCTCAAAATTGTCTCTTTGAGAATAAACATGATTTGTTTTTCGCAATTTTTATTAGTAGGTTTGTCGTTAAAAGTGATGTATCTACATATTTATCAGCGACAAAAATTAAGAATTAGATGTCTAAAATAATTTCCTAATTATTTTTTTACTTAGCGTATCAGTAAATATTATTTATTTTATCGCTGCAGCTGAAAATAATTATGTATTCCAAAACAGGACATTACTGTATAAATATCGATTATTTGGATTTAAAAATTATTTTTCAAAACAAAGTTGGAAAAAACTACGTTTATGTCATAAAATGTGGAGTTCTCTTTGAAATAATCGAGAAAAACCCAACATCTAGTTTTGACGCCACCAGTATATATCATGCATTATAGTTCATTATACTGCAATTTATTATACATACGTAGTTTTGTTTGGTGAAATGAAACTTTCTAAAAGTATTCCCAATTAAAACATATTAAGAATTTCCTACATTATAATTTTGAAAGACGTTTGAGTGGGCAGACAATTTGGTCTAAAATAATCATATGTCTAAAAAAATTAGTCTAAAATAATCAAAAACTACTTAACACATATAACTCGCTTTTAAAAAATCTAAAAGAAATAAGTTTGTTTATTATATTCATATTTTATTAAATTATTATAGGTGTGACTGCTAAGTGGTCGTACTCGCCACTTTAACCAACCATTGGTGGGACCATGGTAGGACCTTCAGAGATTATAATGCGAATTTGTCATACCATGTAAATCTATATACATATATTAATAAATGCGTTTGTTTTATTAAATTTGTTTTCTTATACGGTATGAGCGAAAAAAAACGGCGTCTATTTGTTTACGTACAAATATATGACATCGATATTCATTTCCAAGCCACCTCTGACGCCGTTTTTTTTATCGTATGGTATACACTTACATATATCCCTTATCCTTTAAATCCGATTTATTTCTAATAATTATAAAAATAAGATACCTGATTGATTCTTCCGAAATATTATAAAATGAGATATCAGGAAATAAATAAAGTTACTTATCTCGTTTGTTTTGGGAATTCAAAAAAAAAGGGTATAGAGAATCTTAAGAGACAC